TGAGCGTCACTACCGGGAGCAGAAAGTGTCCGGCTTGACGACTCTGTTTTCAACCCCGACTGCAAATGGCTACTCTCGTTGACCGCCATCTGTAGCCGTGGTTCAAGTCGAACGCACCTACTGTCTCTTGTCTTGTATTGAATGTTTGTAACCCTGCTGTCGGTGTGTGTCAAGTCTAGTCCAGCCTTTGTTGTTTGATCACTTTTGAACTTTAATAAACTGCACTTGGGTTCTTCAACTTGTCGTTCAGTGGACCGTTCATTACAACAACCACCTGGCAGTGCATTACAATAGTACAGTCTAGAGGTCATGAATGCATGAACTAGTTTTTCTGCATCAGAAACGGGTAGCATGTTCCGTAGTTTGGCAATGTTTCTAAGATGGAAGTATGCTGTTTTTGTAAAGTTGCAGTCTAATATAACACCTACATTTTTGACTGTAGAGGAAATAACAGTCATCCGTCTAGATTGTAAAGTGTAATCTAAGAGATTCTGTGTACCGGTTTTTTTTTGTTTTTTTTTGTCCAATAAGTAATATCTTTATCTTATCCGATTTTAATAGGAGAAAATAATTGGTCATCCAATCTTTTACATTTTTAACACACTCTGTTAGCTTAGATAATTTAGAAGTTTCATATGGTCTTGTTGAAATATATAGTTGAGTATCATCAGCATAGCAATGGAAACTAATCCCGTATTTTTTTTAATGATATTACCAAGGGGCAACATGTATATTGAAAATAGCAGAGGGCCTAGGACAGATCCTTGTGGCACTGCAGACTGCTTTCTTGTCTGTTGTTTAAAGGAAAAAAAATCAGCAATTAGCATCATAATTGGCCCATTTGCTTGTAAAAAACCTGCAATCGGAATCAGCCAAGAAAAAAAAAATCATGATCCATGCATCCCGAATACACTTTTGATTAAAACGGTTTAAGAAAATCTATAAACTCCCGTACAATTTAAATTGTTATAATTGTTTGATTATGTGCTTGAACATGTTAACATGCTTAGTGTTTAGTATTTCATAATTTTACTTAATGTACTTCCTGTGTTTTAAAGTTTTCTCTTTAAAAAGTTCATTTCTGGTATAATGCTGAACTTGTGCTGCTTGTTATACAAAAGTAAACTGGCTTCACACGATCAAAGTAGAAGATATAGCAAATACTGTATGTATCATAAATAAGTAATACGTTAGTAAGCAATTTTGCTGTATTAAATCTCATATTAACTCACAATGGCCCACATAAAGGAAACTTGTTGCTTGCACACTACAGTCTATTTGTGGGCAGTTTACTAAGAATGATCAGCCCTACATGCAAATAGGTTGGACACACCCATATTTATAGGAGGCTTTTAAATGTGGTAATTGTACCAAATGTAACTGTGCCTCTCACTAAATAGCATTTCATTTTATTTATTTGATTTGATGTAATATATGTAATGTAGTTTAGTGTTAGTTAAGTGTCATGGTGCTTTTGTTGTTTGAACTTTTAGTTTGAAGTTCTGCATTGTGCCTACAGTATGTTCTTTTTCCATGGTTCTCCTTCCTTATTGTTCCAATCTGTGTTTTGTCTACCTGATTTTTACCTGATCTGAATCAATGTAATGAGCGTTGTTTACGTTCAGCATGCACGTGCTTTTGCTGAACGTAAAAAATGCTCATTACGTTGATTATGTTCTGGGTTACTCTCCAAAATGGCGGAAGATGGTAACTCGGGGAGAAGAATTGTTGAATAAATTATGTTGTTGTTTTCTTTGCACACAAAAAGTATTCTCGTAGCTTCGTGAAATTACGGCTGAACCACTGATGTCTCATGGACTATTTTACCAATGTACTTGCTACGTTTCTTAGATTTCTTACGAGCTTGATTGTTGAGTGAATATAGACAAGTAGCAAGATTTTAAATTCAATTCGATAGTGAACTGCCAGCCAATGCAATGATCACAAGAGGGGAGTAACATGATCGAACTTGTTACACCCCCTCAGGAATCTAGCTGCTGCATTTTGGATTACTTGTAACTTTACAAGTTTCTACTTGTAAACTGCTTGTAATTTTTGTATGTCTGCTCTGCTCTTAATGCAACTACTGTATGTATTGACAGAATTCACTGCAGTTGTCACCATCATTATTTGTTGCGGCATTCCCATAAACTGCATGTTTTTTGCTAATATCAAGCCTGGGCACAATCTGTGGACATTTTTTTTATTACCGAGCAGCCAAGAAATAACCGTAAGTTGCTTAATTAGTGTAAAAGTAAAATCAAATGTAAGTGTGTACATGTGCAAAGACACATACACGGATGCTTGGCTAGTCATGTGAAGAGCCACATCTCTAGCCTTTGAGATAATGTTTGGCCTGGAGTGTAGTGGAGTGGATTGAAGGGCTTTGAGAGTGAGGTTTGGGGAGTTATGGGATCAGGAATAGGATTATATTTAGTTTCATCCCCACATAAGCCAAGAGCACTTCTGACTGTCTCCTTCCCTCTCTCCTTACAAACAAACCAAAAAAACTAAACATTGCTCATCAGAATAAATAGAAACAGAATAAATAAAATTTTAAATCATAAAACATAATTAGTTTAGATTCAAAGTTGACATTGTGGTGCAGAGTACAGAAGTAGTGAAATTTAGTCCAAATCAAACCAGAAGTGCAAAAAGTTCAAATGTTATGGTACAGCTGCCATTTACAAGGGATATAAATGCTGTGGTCACATTAGTGAAATGTCAGTGAAATTTTGTGGGTCTATTGTCAGTTGTGTATATTTGAAGCCAAACTCACACAGGTGTCACTGCCAAATCAAGCAGCTTTCCGTTGCTCTTAGTATGGATCAGATCTTCATCCCAACAGCACATCTAGTTTAGGATTAAAGGGATATTCCACTCAAAAAAAAAAAAATTCTGTGATATACTCATCCTCAAGTTGTACCTATAAACTAATACAGGTTTGGAACAAGATAAGTGTGAGTAAATAATGACAGAATTTTCATTTTTTTGGCAGGACTATCCCTATCAATAGTTGGTTTCTATGGGTGATATGCAGTGAGATTCAAGTAGCTGCTTAACAGCTGTTCACATCACAGCTGTTGCTACAGTCTATCACTGGACTGGCCAATGAGCAGCAAGGAGTGGGATAATTTGTTTTATAAATGTCATTGTCAGATGTCTTTTTTTCCATAGAAATACAAGGAGCTTGAGCAGTCGGTGAGGGTGGAGGAGATTGATGGAATCAAACTGGTGAAGAAACTTGCTGGGAAAATGGCGCAGATGTTCCACAAGAAGGCTGAAGCTATAAAGGTAACTGTCTTTGCATGTTTCAAACAGAGTTTTATTGGGTTTATCAGCATAAAGATTGGCACAGGTTTTTCAGGCCAAGAACATTATAGCCAGTTAAAATACAAATGTTTGCAGCAAAATGTAAAATACAGTAAAAACCAAGTAAACAACAACCAAGGTCTCTCTTCCATACAGTTTTCCTCTAAAAAAACACTCAAAAATGTATTTGATATTCTCCACAATACATAGTAACAAACAGCAATATTTACTTACATATGTTTTTTTTTTAATCATCTAGCATGAATCAAAGTCCATCATACACTCAAAACATATCTTACACACATAAGCATTGTTTTCCAATTATTCACCATTACCTTTCAGATTTTCAAATTAATTAAAATTTTCAAATTAAAAAAGAAAAGAATTGCTGAAATATATTGTTGACATAAGTATTCAGACCCTTAAATCAATACAGGGATTGCAGCCTCAAGTCTTTTGATGCAACAAGCTTTGCACATCTGGATTTGTGGATTTCCTGCTGTTCCTCTAAAGATTCTCTTCAGCGCCTTTAGTTTGAATGGGGACTGTCAGTGGATGTCTTCAGGTTTCTACAGAGATGTTTAATTGGGTTCAAGTCGGAGCTCTGTCTGGGCCACTCAAGGACATTCACAGATCCGTCCCTAAGCCACTCTTACATTGTCTTTGACCAGTTTCCCAGTCCCTGCGACTGAAAAACACCCCTAAAGAATGATGCTAGCACCACCATGCTTCACTGTCGGGATGGTATTGTGCAGATGATAAGCGGCGCCTGATTTAGAGATGACTCTTGGTGATGAAATTCATCAGACCAGAGAATTTTGTTTCTCTCAGTCTGAGTTCTTTAGGTGCTTTTTTACCAAGTGTGCTTTAATGCACTGAGGACAGTCCTGCGTTTGGCCATAAAGCCCAGATCTGTGAAGTGCAGTGATAGTTGTCCTTCTGCAAGAATTAAATATTTTCATTTGAATTTAGTTTGTATAATGTCTTACTTGGAAGGTATAACCCAGTAAACATTTTGAGATTATGCACCCCAGACAAATGTCTTTTCAGGTAAAGAGGGCCATCTTTGGTTTATCAAAAAAAGTACATTTACATAAATTGATTTAGCAGAAGCTTTTATGCACAGCACCTTTCAAGTGCCAATGGGTTTCATCTGGTGATTTAAAACAAAAATGTTGTATAATTTTGGTTTGCCTGGTTTTTATTTTGTGTCTATGTAACTCTTGTATTATTGCAACTCGGTTTTTGACATGAAGATGGTCTTAGATGCTGATGTGGAAATAAAAATAAATAACTATTACTACTATAGCTTTAACCGTAAGATCATTTTGTGCAGTAATGGAATCACATTTTTTTTTCATTTTCTTTTCTTTCTTTTATTTTCTAATTTGTGGTTTCTGAGAGGACCTTTTGACATTTGGTAATTTAGTAACACTTTATTTCGATAGTCCATTTTAGATATTCTGCTGATTTAAGTAACTTTGCAACTACATGTCAACTACCAGTCATTAGAGTATTAGTAGACTGTCTTCTTAACACACTGCTCAAAAAATGAAGAGAACACTTAATCATCAATCAACATCAAGTCAATATCAGTCTGTCCAGCTAGGAAGCACAAGTGATTGTGAATCAGTTTCACCTGCTTTGGTGCAAATGAAAGTGACAACAGGGACACTGGAGAGGCAACAGTAAGACAAACCTCAAAAAGGGAATGGTTTTGCAGGTTCTGCTCTCCTCTTATCCTTCTTGACTGATTTGTCACTAGTCTTTGTGGATTTGTAGTGTAGTGTTTTGTTAGGGTCCTTCTCACTACTTGTAGCATGAGGCAGTACCTGCAACCCACTCAGGTTGCCCAGGTAGCCAAGCTCCTTCAGGATGGCACATTCATACATGCTGACGCAAAGGAGGTTTGGTGTGTTTTCGAGCACAGTCTCAAGAACATGGAGGAGATATGGGAGATGGGTGGTTACGAGCTGGACAGGGCCGTAGAAGGGCAACAACCCAGCAGCAGGACCAGTATCCGCTTCTTTGTGCAAAGAGGAACAGGAGCACTGGCAGAGCCCTCAAAATGACCTCCAGACTTCCAGCAGACTACAGGGCCGTAGAAGGGCAACAACCCAGCAGCAGGACCAGTATCCGTTTCTTTGTGCAAAGAGGAACAGGAGCACTGGCAGAGCCCTCAAAATGACCTCCAGACTTCCAGCAGACTGCTAGTGTGCATGTTTCTGACCAAAGTGTGACGGATGACGAAGGCATCGATGCCACTGACTGGCTCTCACATTCCCCAGACCTGAATACAATTGAGAACATTTGTGACATTATTTATCACACACTTTTTAGTCCCAGTTAGTAGCTGAGCTGTTGCATTCTGGACTAACTGTAAGTGTTGAAGAGATGACTGATCCAATCCAACATATAAAGAGTTACAGTAGTTTAGTCGACGTTATAAAATCATGGATTACTCTTTCAAACTTCTTAAGCGGCAGGTAAGGCTTGACTTTAGCCAACAGTCTCGGCTGAAAAAAAAAAGCCTTTTACAACAGAACTAATCTGTTTTTCAAATTTAAAAGCACTGTCAAAAATCACACCGAGATTCTTGGTAAGTGGACGAACATATCCTAAACTACCAAGAGCATCTATACAAGCACCTAAATCCCCAGGATGACCAAACACAACAATCTCAGTCTTATTTTCATTAAGAAAAAGAAAATTCTGATCCAGCCATATTTTTAAATCTCTCAGGCAATTAAGTAATGACATAAATTAAACTTTGTCATTTGTTTTGACGGGTCATATATCATCCACATAACAATGGTAGGAGATACTGTATTTTCTTAAAATATACCCCAAGGGCAACATATACAAAGAAAACAACATGGGTCCTAATATGGACCCTTGGGGGAAACCACAAAGAAGAGGGGCAGCATATGAAGAAAATTCACCATGGTGAACAGAAAAACTTCTGTCTGTCAAATACGATTGAAACCATTTGAGGGCTATGCCCTTAATGCCAACACACTGTTCAAGTCTGGATAAAATAATTGATTGGTTGACCGTATCAAAGGTCGCAGTCAACTCCAAAAGGACTAATACAGCAGAGTTACCGGAGTCCACAGCTAGAAGAAGATCATTAGAAACTCTTAAAAGAGCAGTTTCTGTACTGTGACAGAGCTTAATCTTTTTGAGCATTATTAACTCTGGATGATGGATAGTAAAGCCCAAAGGATCTTCTTTCCAAAGACACCAAAATTGTGTGTGTAGCACACTGTTGTCAGGAACTGTTACCATTTTAAGTAGGTAGGTCATTTTCAGCTGTGAGTCCCAAAATGGGGGGTGCAGGTTAACAGGTTAAAACCAGACTGAAATTTTTCATAAATACTTTGTCTAAAATAAGACAAAAATTGAAGGATCCAAATTTTTCTTTTTTAAAAGTGGTTGCACAATGGCATGTTTAAAAACAGCTGGTACACACCCCTAGCTGAGCAATGTATTAACCAAAAATACTGTACAATGCTGGAAGACAGCTGGGCAAAAAGAAAAGTCAGAGGGGTCACTGATAACCATGATGGGTGGAAAACTTAGACCAGCAATTTTGTCTACAAAATATTTCAGAAAGTTTTCACATAATATTAAAGATGACACAATGCAGTCTGAGTAACGAGGGTTATCAAGAGAGTTAAAAACATTAAAAAGAACCTGAGGCCGCTGGCTGTTACTGGTTACAAGGTTGGAAAATGTACATAATGCGTCCTGCAAAATTTAAACGAGACTTTGAGTTTATCCTTTTCCCACTTTCTCTCGGCTACTCTGCAGGCACGTCTGAGGGAGCGGGTAATGTCATTCAACCAGGGTTCTGAAAGAGCTTTAGGACATTTTTTTCCTCAACGGAGCAACAGAGTCCAATATCTCAGTACAAGTACAGTTAAATAAGACAGTGAATTCCTCTACACTGAGATTACAGTCATCAAGATTGTACAACAATGAGTCTTTAAAATCACTAGAAAACTGTGAGGCAATTAAAGGCATAATATGTAAGATTTTTTTATTAAAATATCCAAAAACCACTAGAACAGTTTTATATATTTTGCTGACTTGTGTACTTGCATTATCCCAAATGTTTCGAAGAATGTTTAAATCCAGAGAAATAAACAATTTTAACTAGTGACACGGACCATGTTTTGACCGTTTTGTTTTGTAGAAAACATGGAAACACCAAATATACGCTTTAATATGTCGTGCGTTTTAATAGACAGGTGACGATAGACAACTCCCATGATTCCACACTCAGTCACGGCATCATCAAACTACGCCTTTGCCTCTTTGTTTATTTAGAATACGCGCCCTCCAGCGGCGAAAATTACATATTGTGCCTTTAAAGGCAATTAAATCTCCAAACCGGGAGGCAATTAAAGGCAATTAAATCTCCAAACTGGGAACAACCACAGTAAATAAAACAGGCAGGTGATCTGAAAAACATGCGTAACATATTTCACTGATAGTAATACATAAACCATACGACAACACAAGGTCCAAAGTATGTCCTTTTTCATGGGTCGGACCAGTGACCGACTGCGTGAGATTAAATGAATCAGTTAGACTTATGAGTTATGAATCAGTTAAATCTTTAGCCACAGGTTTGGATTCACAGCACAGATGTATGTTAAAATCACCAAAATTTAAAAAGTGATCATATGTCAATGCAATCCCCGCCACAAAGTCTGCAAAGTCCTGAATAAAATTCTTATTATATTTTTGGAGGTTGATACACCACCACACACAACACAGTCATGGGAAAATTTGTCTCAAAAAGCTGCAATTCAAAACTGTTGCAGGCATCCACCGCGATCTCTGCTTTTTTTAAACTTTGATTTTCAGTGTGATTTTTAATTCAGCCCTCAGTGGGTTTTGGTTTCCATTGACCATTGTCACATCATTTTGCTTTCAACGAATTACACAATGTATATACAGTAAGTAAATTTTTTTTAACTTTAATATTTAATTCATTATTGAGCAGTGTAGCCTAACACTTTATTTTGATGGTCCCCCAACAGACACTCTACTAAGTAACTTTGCAAGTACATGTCAACTCATTATACTAACCCTAACCTAGGGCTGGGTGATAAAACACTAATGATAATTATTGTAATATAATTTTCCTCGATGAAACGATAACAAGAATTTGATAAACTTACTAGAGCAGATGCATTTAATCGCTGATGAGTCTCGGTCACATGAGCACTAAACGGCGCTGTGAGATCCAGTGTGAAGTGCTTGAATTCGGTGAACAACACAAATGACTCCGGTCTAGTTTAAAGCAAGAGGAAATGGCACTGACGAAAAGGAGAAACACTGTGTTTTTTTGTGATTTAGCTAAAGTATTTGTTCATTTATACTAAATATATTTAGACTACTGTTTTTCATAAAATACCTAGAAACCATATAGTCATATTTTTACCATGGTATTGAGGTGCTATATGTGTTATTTTAACGGTTGTTATCATGATCTAAATGTATAATATTATATAAGACCAATGGTTAAAGGGATAGTTCACTCAAAAATGAAAATTTGATACGATCGGTTTGTGCGAGAAACCGAACAGTATTTATATAATTTTTTACCTCTAATACACCACTATGTCAGCGCGCGCACGGCATCCGGTGCATGAGGTGTGTACGCGCTCTGGCGTAGTTTACGCAAGCGCCGGAAGTGATCTCTCGCGCGTATACGTCACTCATTGTTTACACAGTGCACAGTCATTGTAGGTACGGCGGCTAATCAAAATAGTACTTACTTGTGCTTATCCGGATTGTTCAAAACAACTTAAAACTAAAAGATTACTTTCTCTCGCGCGAACTCATTCGGGAGTGGTGACTTTCCACGTATTCCCAACTTCTGAGCCTGCTCGCCTGAAGTTATGGTTGATTGCTCTTCGGCTGGATATCAACACACCCTTTAACGTAAACTAATTTGGATTTGTCTGTGCATGTTTTTTTTACTCTCATAGATTTTGTTAACATTGCCATGCATTATACGACTGATAGACTGCAACGGCTGGAGTTAAAAATCTCAGTTTGTGTTCTACTGAAGACACAAAGTCACCTACATCTTGGATGACCTGGGGGTAAGCAGATAAACATCAAATTTTCATTTTTGGGTAAACTATCCCTTTAATTTTAATAAAACTCAAAAAGTCAGAATAATTAAATTTCACCATATAAAAATTAGGTTGTTACATTTTTTTTTACAGATGCTACTGTTTTTGATAACAAGCATTTACCTCTGCATCCTAACTCAAGCCTACTGTCATTTATAAGAGACAAAAAAATTTAATATTATTAATATTGCAGCCTGCACTGCAAACTGTGCTGAAGATATGCATCATCAAAATCAGGCAACACAAACCTGTTTCATGATTTGAAACAATATCACTCTTTAGAACATGCAGAAACTAAGAAATTAATTTTTATATTACAATATTTATTGTGCTAAGGAAAAATAACTGGAAAAGTGTAAAGAATTAAAACAACGTGAAGTGTTTATCATTTTCTAATCATAGAGTACTTTAAAAAACCACAATTAACAGTCTGGTTTCTACAAGTTTCACTTAGGAACAAAAATCTGCCTTTAAACTTGAAATAAATACAAATTAGAAATGTATATATCTAATTATCAATATCACCTTATATTAAAGATTTTCATGGTGATATAAATATATTTTTTGCCATATTGCTCGCCCAACCCTAACCTGACAGTATACTAATACACTAATGAGAGTTAGTTGACATGTACTTGTAAAGTTACTTGTAGTTAGCAGAACGTCTACTAACTATTGCAGAGATGGACTATTTAAATAAATTGTAACCAGTAATTTTAGTCATGAACCAAGTATTTTTGTCACTTCATGAAGGTTTTAAAGGGGTCATTGTATGCAAAATTCACTTTTACATGTTGTTTGAACTGAAATGTGGCAGTGTGTGTACACAACCACCCTACAGTATAATGATAAAAATCCACCCAGTGTTTTTTTAA